TGGGAAGAGCGCAATGATGGTGCCAACTTGGGCCAGTGAAGCAATGTCCTCCACAACTAGACTGAAGAACAAAACGACAGCAACTTGTCTGTTCCCCTTACCCCAATTCTCCAGCACTGTTCCCATCCCCCCAATTCCCCAATAAAAATCTTTAAAAAAAATAAAAATCAAAGATAGGAGCCGGCTGAGTGGCTCAGTTGGTTAAGAGCTCGCTCAAGAATGCGAGCTCTGAGCAAAAGGGTCGCCGGTTCAATTCTCGGCACGAGCTGAGCTGCAGCTGAACTGCCAACAGGTGGCAGGATGGCTCAGCTAAAAAAATGTTTTAATTAAAAAAATAATAATAATAAATAAATAAATAAATAAATTTTAAAGATAGGAATTTTTTTTCTGAATTTCATACCATGAAGTCTATAGTGTATTTTATACAGTTCAATTAAAGGAACTTCATATACTTCTCAGTTTTTATATTATTGTGTAGAATGTATGAATATAACCTCTGTGAAGAATTTCCTTTTACAATGTTGGCTTAAGGAGGTACTTGGGTTCCATCATTGACTTGCCATCTTCCTCTTACAACTCCCAGTGATTTTCAGAAAAAGCCTGAGTAGCCGTGCTGTAACAGCAGTCCTTTCAAGACTAACTTTTTCAGCTTAAAGACTAGGATGAAAACGGGGTCAAATATATGGCGATGGAAGGAGAACTGCCTCTGGGTGGTGAACACACAATGTGATATGTAGATGATGTGTTACAGAATTGTACACTTGAAACTATGTAACTTTACTAACCGTTATCACCCCAATAAACTTTAATTAGGAAAAAAAGAAAAAGACTAGAGCTCCAGAGTTTAAAAGTAATTTGTAGAGCTTACTTACTCCATATTCATCAGGCTGCTTTGAGAAACAAAAAGACCCTGTGATCACTTTCCTCATTACACCCCCTCTTGACATTACAAGGAGAAAAGATACCCACAGAATACTGAACCATGGTTATCACAGCTAATGGAAGAAAATAACTTTTATAATTATGTACTTAATAACTCTCATGAAACTTTAATAATCAATGTTATAAATTATTCACACCAGAAACAAAATAATAGAGATTATATAGTAGCAGTTGGTATTAGTTAAGTGAGGCTACAATCTGCTTTGACAGTTCTTAGATATTTTACGAACTGTAGTTAAGCCCAGCCAAAACGATATGAGAAAGATAAGCATAGAGCCTACCTTTAATGAGGTCTCTAGAGAAGTCAATTCTACAACTTTAGAAACCCACTGAAAATATTTAATCAAATTTATGTGATGTATGTATGTATGGAAAGAAAAAATTAAACCTCTTTATGAAAAACATCACTGTCTCTAGCATGGGGAATTGGTCATATGGTGGCAGGAACAAAGATTGCCTTTTATTGAGCTCCATGCAATTTACAAACTTCATTTTATTGAACCTCTTGTGAACTTTATAAGGCAAGTATAGTGCAGGAAATACAGGCCAGCAAATAATAAGCATTTCAGAATTTAATTTGTTAAACTGAGGCTTCACAAAAACCTTATAAAACAGATGATACTGTCCCTATTTTGCGGAAGGACTCAGAGAGGTGAGCTAGCTTTCTCAAGGTCACACAGCAGAGATCATTTGAAAACAAGTTTATCTGATATGAAAGCTTCCACAGGTAAATCTGCTATCCAGTGACTTTCTTTGTTTTTAAGAAGGTATTATTTAATAGCTGAATTTTGTTATTTCCAGGTATTTTCTTATACTGCTGACAAAGAAATCCGAACCGATGACTTGTGCTTGGATGTTTCTAGACTCAACGGACCGGTAATCATGTTAAAATGCCACCACATGAGAGGAAATCAGTTATGGGAATATGATGCTGAGGTACAGTATTTTCCTTAAGTTACTTATATTTAATGCTTAAACTCAGCTATATATTTCAAATACATTTAAATCCTACGTTCTATTTTTCTGCATTGGGAAAACTGCATTTTCAAGCATGCATGCTCGTATTTGATACCATTAGGATGGGATATCGTATAAGTCAGATTTGCCAAACTAGTCCATAATTATAAAATATAAATGAGAAAAATTAAGTCATTTTTAATTGCTTAACATTTATTATCACATGTACATGCTCAACGTAAGTTAGGCAAGGGGCAGGCTATGCTTTTCTGAGAGGTAGGTATGCAGGTGTGCATATAGGACAATTTCAACAATATTATATTTTCAAATGTTAAGTTTTACACCCTTGTAATCTATAATATTTATGCTTCTCAACTTAAAGGAAAAAAGGTGACAAGATTAGAATGAATGCTCTTTGTAATAGTAAATACTTTGAGAAATTCGATAAACCAATTAGGTACATAATCAGCTACACAGTGTCTTCTCAATGTAACACATCGTTTGGAGAGAATTGAGGGAGAGAAAACAATAAATTTACTGTTGGGAATTTACAGCCAGGCAGTGTGTAAAAACCAGATCAACCATCAGATGGAGCTAATAAAAAAGAAATATTGTCCTCTGCATTAGGAAGCTGCCTTGGAAAAGCTTAATTTCTTTCTGTGCTCTCTGCTTAACAAAATGAATTGGTCGTCTGTGTTACATTTTCCACATTATCAAATGGTCGGTGACTTATTTAAGAAGCGAATTTTATTCTTGTAAGATAAATAATACAATAGAGGTAAACGAAGAACACAAATTCAGCTTTCTGTGAAAACTTAAAACATTCTGCAAGAGTAGCATTTTAAAAACCAGTCTTCAGTGTTGTTAGTATTATTAATATTTTAACAAGGCCTTCATTTTGAATGTCATTTTCGTTTGCATGATGTTGTACTTTCTTAAGTGGAATATCAGGATAACCTACTGAATTCTTATGTGATTTGAAACTGGTTACACAAGGTTAAATTTTGGCCCTAAAATTTATACAATATTACCAAGCTCTTTGTATAAAACATGTTGTTCTTTTGGTACATAACGAAGGGCAAACACCATGAATCCTTCCTTTGTTGCACCAGTTGTGTTCTAGTCAGACTCTTGTCTGCTCAATACTTCATTCACCTTTATCTGACCACCATTTTTTCTCTTCAACTATTAACATCACCACCTTTATTTATTAAGACTGCAGAAGACATTACCTCCAGTAATATGTGGGTAAACCTGAACTCTTAGTCAGCGCCCTACCTCTCCTATTAGAAAAAGTACAGATAAAGGTATAAAAAAAGGAGAAGTCCTGAAAGTATTATTTTTAAAATAAAACTTTTTTATTGTTGGTGTTGCTCTTTTCACCAGGAACCAGTTTTCACCAGGAACCCAGGGCTTTATTGGGCTTGTGCTAAAAATAAAGAACTACAGCATATATTTATAAGAAAAAGAAAATGAGTGCACATGCTTTTTAATAAGACAAAGCAGTGTTAAGTTTCAGAATACCACTTATCATCTTTAAACTTTCTATAATTTTGTCTGGACAATGGCTTTTATAGTCATGACTCAAATTTCTTCATTTCTGAAATAGCTATTATTGGTAATTAGGCATATGTTTTTGTTTATATTTTTATCATTCAGTAGCAAGATTATTGATTACTAAGGGATTTTGAAAGAAAAGTGAAAAAAATAGTCTGCTTCACCTAATATAAAGAAATGTTTTTTTGTGTGTGTTTTTTTTTTAATTTCTTACTTTGGATAACAAGGAGTTATATATTACAGTATTTTTAGGGCATAGTAATATTTTATATCATTGTAAGCTTTGTTTCTAGAACAGACACAAAAATAACTTATAATATGTCATGATTATTGACAAATGTTTATTTTAAATAAACTATCTAATCATCTTAAAATTATATAACAGTTTAATTTACTGTCCTATATGTTTATGTTTTCAAAATTTAATTGTGATTTTAATTGTATAAATTAAAATTTTTAAATCATAATGTAAAATTTTAAAAATGTATAAATCATAATGTAGAGAAGTCACAAGAGAACGGAATAATTGTAGGAATGATGTATTGCCTTTCTGGAAATTTCAGCTTTGAAATAAGATTGGTTTTATTTGTGAAGAAGTCAGAAAAAAAGATGAATTTTTAAATGAAATTGATATATAGTATTTTTTTTTTATGATTAATTTTTCTTTAAGTGTTAGGCTTAGGGTCACTTTAGTGTACAAAATAATCCCCATCACTATGAGCCAAAGTGTGATTCTAGCAACATTACCTGAGAAGCTGTTAAAAATCAGGACTCTGAGATACCACCCTAGACACACTAAATCAGAGTCTGTATTTTAACAAAAACCCCAAGTCATTCACATACAATTTTAACAGTGTGAGAAGGAAAGGTCTAGAATGTGGTCAAACATCTTCCTTAGTCTTTTTATACATGGTTGAAAAGTATTGCAAAGCTATTGAAAATGCATAAATACACTTTGGAAAATGATCAGGCCTCTAGGAGAGGTGGGAGAGGGAAAAGGAGCTGAAAGATGGGGTGCTGAGATGGGGAAGAGGAGTAACTGCCAAGCAGCTCTAGTCTTCTTAAATTCCAACCAGTGGAAAGTAGACAAGTGCTGCTTGCTGCTTCTTTAATTTATTCTTTATCTATTGCAATCAAAGGCAACATTACTCTTCTTTGAGAAACTTCTGAGGTGGTACAGGTTCAAAGAAGAATAAAACTTGATGGCATTCACAGAATTACAGAGCTGAAACTAACCTCAAAGTTCTCTTCTTTCAGCCTTTATTGGGAGGACTCTAAAAGTACAAAGATCACCCCACCAGTGGCAGAGGCGGGATTTAGGTCCTATTAAAGTATTCAAAGAAAGCTAGTTATCAGTACAATCGTGAATCGCACAGTGTGAACAGCTGAAATAGTCTGTCGCCATATCTCCTGTAGTCCTTTCAATCTTAGAAAAGCTAGTCATAAATAGAAATAGAATTGTTGGAATAGCCAGAGAAAAATTGAAACAGTATTATAAAGTCTCAAAACTTGGAGTCTCTGCAGCTGGTTTATTTACTTCTTAGGTGAGTGGAGTAAAGTAGAAGGAAATAAAGTTTGTTGATTGTCTATAATTTCATAGGTTTTCCATGCAATTCTATAAGATAATATTATTCTTATTGGTGTTCTTCACATCGGTAAATGTCAGCTTAGAGTATTTAAATGTCTTCTCTGGGTTTGTACACTCCAGGCTTCTAGCCCTCAATCCAGCAATCTATCCACTATATCACATTGCCTGTTGAAGTCACTGAAAAACTAGAAACAGCTAGACGATTTTAATGATGGTGAGCCAATAAGCTAGATGTACAATATTATAAATGAAAGAAATAATTAAATACTATCAATTAATTATTTGTGGTACCAAGTTTTGTTCACATAGAGTTTCTCTTTTCCTTAGTCAAGGGAAAGATTTTCTGCAAAAAATACTGTCGATTTAGACAAACAGGCAATCATAAAACTACTTTGTCAGTATGGTCTAATTGTTTACAAACTGCAGCTATATATATTCATAATATAATTAATTAATTAATATTTGCTTCTACATTTATTTGAATGAAACTAAATATAAGCTGGCAATAAATACATGCCTTTGGCCAATTTTGACTTGAAATACAGTGTCCCATTCCCTTAACTAAATATTTCTTTTCTTCCACCATTTTTTTTCCTTTTTCTTTTTTTTTCTTTTTAGTTTCAGATGTACAAAACAATCCAATAGGTATCCTTTTCACCCCTCACAAATTGACAACCCCCCCATCCACTGCTCTCCCACCCCCGATATTAAGCATATCTATTAAAATTCCATTGACTCCATTCCCACACTATACTCCACATCCCATGACTATATATGTATTAAATTATAGTTGACATATAATATTATTCAACAGCAGTTTTAGATGTACAGTGCAGTGGTCAGGCCTCTATACCATCCATGAAGTGGTCTCCCTAACAAGACATGAGTCCATCTGTTCCCCTAAAAAATTTTTACAATATTATTGATAATATTCCCCAGACTGTCTATTCTATCCTTGAGGCCATATTGTAGTTACCAATTTATGTTGTCTGGTCCCTTCCCCTTCTCCTTCATCCCCACCCCCTCCCAACAGGCAACCATCAGTTTTCCCTCTGTGTCTTTGAGACTATTTCTGTTTACATTACTCATTTATTCAGTTCTTTAGATTCCACATGTAAGTGAGATCATATGGTATTTGTCTTTCTCTGACTGACTTATTTCACTTAGCATAATGTTCTCTAGGTCCATCCATATCGTTGCAAATGGTACAATTTCCTTCTTCTTTATACCTGATTAATACTCCATTGTGTAAATGTACCAGTTTCTTAATCCATTCGTCTACTGATGGGCATTTCGATTGTTTCCAAGTCTTGGCTATTGTAAATAGCGCTGTAATGAACATAGGGGTGCATATATTTTTTCAAAGTAGTGTCTTGGGTTTTTCTGGATAAATACCTAAGAGTGGAATTGCTGGGTCATAAGGTAGTTCCATTTCCAGTTTTTTTAGTTACTTCCATACTGATTTCCATAGTGGCTGCACCAATCTGCAATCCCACCAACAGTGCACCAGGGTTCCCTTTTCCCCACAACCTCGCCAGCGTTTGTTGTTTGTTGATTTATTGATGATAGCCATTCTTACTGCAGTAAGGTGGTATCTCATTGTGGTTTTTATTTGCATTTCCCTAATGATTTGTGAGGTTGAACATTTTTTCATATGTCTATTGGCCATCTGTATGTCCCCTTTAGAGAAATGTCTCTTCATATTCTCTGACCATTTTTTAATTGGATTGATTGTTTTTTGGTGTTAAGTTGCATGAGTGTTTTATAAATTTTGGGTATTAACCCCTTATCAGATATATCATTGACAAATATCTTCTCCCATTCAGTAGGCTTC